TACCATACAGCAAAAAATCAGACTCTGAAGAAAACATTTATTGTAAGTAGAGATAAATTATTTGATGGTGGGTTAATTCTTCTTATGAATTTTTAATGCAATGTTCTTCACAAGTTACATCATGTTCATTAATTATTCACAAGCAGGTTACAGAAACAGAAATCTCTAATTTATACAAGACAGCTGTAATTCAGTTTCTTGGGAGGTTCTAATTTAAGTAAGGAAACAGAAATATGTTCACTTTATAAAGGAGGAAGTCTGTTCGCATGTGTTAATTTCAAAAACATTAGGAATATTTTTTAAAGCTCTAGAATACTCTTGGATAATGTACACTGGGCATGCAAGTTTCTTTGAGTGATTAAATAGATTGTACCAGAAATGTAGTTATTGCCATGACGATTCCACACCTTCGATTCCAAACATGGAAATCACTGGACAACATCCTCATCATTAATGGGTTAGTATAGGGCCAAGCAAAAACATACGTATATTTGTTTCCTATAGTCTAAAATGCTATTTTATAATAAATATGGATTTAATGTTTTGTCCTTTATTACCAGTTAATTTGAGAGAACTCATAGTTTTCTGCTCTGAATATTATAAACATTTTACCAAACTTAAATTTAGTAATTGGACTTTATTTGACCTTAAAAAAAATTTATCAAAATCCAGACAAACGTAAGCTGGGATTTTTTGTTATAGCTTGAAATATGTCAAAGTGTACAGTAAAACACTCTTATAGTGAACAACTTATAATGAATTGACACTTATAGTGAAGTGATTTTCATTCCACATGACTTTGAAATATAAGCAAAATGGTCACCCATGGCACTTCATTTTATTTAGTGTGTTTTATTGTATTTAGAAAAACTAAAAAGTAATGAATTTTGCACAAATGGTGAGCAAGTTTGACCAGCAAAAATAAGATATAAGATTTAAATATTGTTTCAAAAACACAGCAGGGTTTCAAAGAAAGTTAAAGATTATATATCTGTATTTTTTTCCCTTTAAAGCAAGCACTTCATACTTACCAATTACATGTATCATGTTTTTCAATTACTTGGCTACTATTGCAACAAACATACATGTCTGACACATATTAATGGGGGAAAACAATTTGTTTTGCTGAAGTAATTGAAACTTGCTATATTAATTTATGTTTTCTGAGGACATGCATTCATTGAAATATGAATATTAAAATTTGTGGTAAATACATACACCAATTCCTGCTTTTTTTTTTCCTTTTTTTTTAATACTTATTTAATAAATAAGTAGTTAACATTTGGATTAAATTAAATAACCTTTGATCGCCGTAAACATATTTTCCTTCTGAAAATCCCTTTGTGATATTTTAGAAAAGGATGACAGTAATAAAATAATTAAGCTTGATTTATTCATTAAATGCCTAGTGTCATGTATTGAGCTGAGGAGAAACTGAATAAATTGTCATCAATATAGCAGCTTTATTAAATTCTTTTCCATGTGCCAATACATCACTTCTAATCTCCAGAAAACCTAGCTTTTCATTTGCTCAGATTTGTATTCAGTTTCATTTTCAGACATATAAAAGAAAAGATGCTAAGAAGCCATTAACTTGACAAGATTTGTGATTCGGCCATACAAACTTCCTATAAATGCATGGCATTTAATTTCTGATAATAGATTTGTTCTTTGCATCAATAGGTGATATTTGTGAAAATGTCAGTGCAGATAATGCTAATAACTCCCAATCCATCTTATCACAAACTTCTCCTTACCAACCAAGATAGTGTTATCATGGCTTGAAGCTTTCAGAGGAATATTAGCTTCCATTCCAATTGATGTAGGGAGTTCTGCGATTGTCAGCAAGTGGTTTGTCGAGTTGTTCGTTGATGACAGCATTTGCTACATGTAAATGCCCGTATAACTCCGAGATAGTAAAGCTTGGTCTTTCAAGTCGTCATTGTTTGTTTGTGATAGTTTTCATTGGACAGTCAATAGAAAGTTAAATTGACTGCCAGTGTAGGCACTTTCAATATTGAAGTTGGCCACGCTTCATTTGACAATATGAATATCACATAAGAAATGATGTGCCATTTTATTTTGGATGGCTTAATACCTTTGTTTCAGGAATGTACGTGTAAACAGAAAACTGGAAATAGTTTATCATACCTGATAATTGACTCACCGATCAGTGGCAACATATCTGCACTCACCTTTGTTTAAATATAAACATGTAATTGGATGTGTTAACAGAAATAAGGTGATATTTATAAAGTGTTCTGTCCAGTGCTTCTTTCCTCATAGAGACTAAAGGAGTAACTTTCAATTATCTAGCAGAAATTTTAGGAAATTTTCAGAAAATAAGTTGGATTCTGTGAGTGAAGTAGCATGGCTTGATCTTGTTATGAATTAGTAAGATGGGCCTTGGTGGATTTGTATTGAAGTTGCAGTGACAGCTTTAGGAATGGGTACAGATGTGATGTTAAGGCATGTTCATATGTCCCATCCAAACCCTAAATACTGGAAGTTGAGCTTGGATGTTAAGTCTGTTAGCAGGGGTGGGGTAGGACAAAGAACCATCAAATTACCTTACAGACGATCCTACGGTCTCTCACGCTCTATTGTATGTGTCAGTGCAAAAATTCACAAAAGGTAAACTAGTCTCCATGCTCTCTTGTTTCATTTGTGAAGTTTTTTTTTTTTTGATATTGAATTGCCATTTAAAACTGTGATTTTCGTAGTTTTTAAAAAAAAAAAATTCCAGGTAAAAATCTATATTAAGATTTTGTAACTGAATTTCCCTCCATATATTTTCAATCTTGATTAAAAAAGAAAAAAAAAACAAGCAAAAATCATTTCATTTTGAAATATTTTTTTACAATTTATTTTATATTTTAAAAGTGTGATAGCTATATAAAAAAAATGTGCACACATGCTTGTATTTTGAATAAACTTAAAAAATTTCCTTAGGGTTTAATACATTTAAAAAAAAAGGTTACAGAAGTCTTATTCTTGAAGTTAAAATGTTATGAATATATGTATATATGTGATAATGAATGTTTTTAAATTTGTAAATGTTTAATTTTCTTTTTTTCTTTCTTTTTTTAAATTAAATGTTACTTTTTGATTATCATAATGAATCTATGGTATCTGCCATCTTTTCCTGATCCCAGCATTGGAATATAAGTAATTGTCTGAATTTCTAATTTTTATTAAAGAAATTTAAAGAAAAAAAGCATAACAAAATGTTGATACATGTATTGTTCTGGCGAAATGAAGTCTCGCAGTTCAGAGAGGGGTAGAGCCTGGTTTTAGGAATAGATTTGTCATTTTCTAATTGATGTAAATGTATATGGTGAATTTTATGCTGACCAAATTTACCTGAAGCAATTGTAAAAGTTTATAGCTTGTCAATGAAGTACTTGAAATTGAACAAGGGACTAATAAAGATACATGACTATAATGTTAAGGTAAAGTTCTAGGGATTCAACAAATCTTTGTAGAAAAGATTTCTCAACACTGAGAGAGATATGAATATCAGAATGAATAAGGTCTTTAGAATCAAATTTAGCATTAAATCTGAAATAACCTATAGGCTGATTAAGTTGGATCAATAGAGCTTGTTCCATTTCAATACAGTTGTTTTGGAGTAAGTTTGCACTGGACATTGTTGGTTTACACTTAAACATTGCGTACGTAGATAAGATAGGGTCGTTATTGACCAAAAGAATTAAGTCAAATACAAGAATTAGTGCAAAGTTTTATTAAAGGTAGGGACATAAAAGTGGTCAGCCTGGGAAGAATGTTTGGACAGAAAATGGACATGTTGCCAAAGCCTTTGTGCTTGCTTATAACTTATAAACATGATTGATTTCTATTATGGAAGTCAAGGTGCCCCCTTGAGTCAAAGATACCATGGGTATTGGGAAGGCAACTTAATTTGATTGACCATTGCCTACCTCATGATCTAAAACTATTTGATAAATAATTATATTAAAATTTGTATGTGTGCTTGTCAAAGCTTGTCATGCATTGCAAAGTTTGTTGACAAGAATCATAAAACAGTAAGGTGATAATATGTAGACTTGCTGAGATGTTTACCCAGTAGTACATCATTAGTAAATTGATAATCTGGAGATGGATATTGTAAAAGGGATGAAAAAATTGTCATCCTGTTAATTGGTATGATAAAGTAATAACTTATATGGTCTTAAGCATATACAGTCACATGAGTATCAATCTGCTCTTTGCAATTTATGCTTCAATATTTACATTTCCAATGTCTTTGTCCGAGATAAAATTACAAATTGTAAAAATACTTTATTTCTACATAAATCTACTGGATCATCGATAGGCGCGGTTAAAAAAAATCACGTGCAGGGCGGGACAAATAGAGACAGAAGCGGGGCTATTAGCACGGGAATTTGCAGAATCAGGAGCATGTAAATATAAGGAATAACTGTCAGATTTTTTGGATTCATGACGATGATCAATCGATTGGCTTGCGTGATAATTTTATGCATAAACGCCTTCGGCGTTTATGCAAATTATCACGCAAGCCACTCGATTGATCACATCATGAATCCAAAAAATAAGACAGTTATTCCTTAAATATTTCCAATTTGGTTGGATTAATTGACAAAAGATTGTTCAGATTCATACAGAACAGCTGTGCACAGTTTTACAGTGAATATGAATCTTAATAAAGAATTGATAAAGAAAGATGCTGTCATAAAAGTGTTAGTCTAATTTTGAGAAGAAGAAAAATGGGGTCAGTAATACAAGAGTCTTTGTTCCAGTCATTTTGGTACACAGAGATAGACTGTTCCCTTGTACGTTTCACAATATTATCCTAATAAATCAAAGTTGATGTTAGCCTTAAAACATTAACAAACACATGCTTTGGCATATAAAAGTAAACAGTCAAAAGATGTATTTGTTGACTGTTGGATATAGCATCTTGTCTGGAATTTATTTCACAGGTATGGCTGTATAAAGGTGTTATTGTTTATTTTCAGACGAGGCATTCCTCAGGGATCCCTCAATGAACCATATTCTACCATCGAGACTCAGCAACCAATCCCTCCAGAGTTCCTGGATACAGTCACAGAAGCCCTAACAAGGCAAGCCAAACCTCTTATTCCTGTAATTAGGAGAAAAGAAACATTTGCTCCAAAACACTATTTAGCTCTTAAGGCCTTGTCATGTTTTGTTTATAACACAAAGAACTGGTTGAATTGGTAGTATAAATAATTTTCTTATCCCTCCTTAGTGAAATCTTTGAACAAATAATTTGGACCTGTTCATCTATGTAGGCATTTACATTATGAAATGTAGTTTGTGGATGATACTATGCTCCGTGAGATAAGAAAAGGACCTGTCTTTGGTCATGAAGTAAAATGTCAAGGTCTCAATAGCAAACTTTTGACAAGTTGAATTTCTTCAATTCTTTTATTTTTATACTTATTATTATTGACATTTATTTATTTATTTTTGAATAGCAGTTTTTCATCTTTGTTGAATTTTATCTTTTTAGCAAGTGAAAAATTTATTTCCAAGATTTCCAAGGTCAAAAAATCAATTCTTATGAATGTATACTTTCCAATATTTGGAATAGGCCTGACGAAAGAGATTCTCCTAGTTAAATAGTTTTGTGATTATAAGACAATGATTTGTTTCAAGAAACTTTACCAAATTTGTTTGTTATTATGATAAATTTTTATGGATATTAATTTTTCATGATATTTTCAATACTGTGCGCTTATTCAAAGGTTAAACATGTAGTATCTAACCAAACTATAAATTCAGGTGATATTTTTTTAACAGGACTAATGATACAATGTTTTCAATTTGATCAAAAGTGAAGAAAAAATCCAAATAATTGAATTCTTGTTTCATTACAGTTATCATGGAACCCCGTCTAGTAGTGGTCGATCTACTCCTACACTAACAGAGGCCCAGAGTGCCCATCCTGCCAAAGTGGGGGAATGGGGGACGGGAAACACCACGGAGAGGAGCAGTACAGGCTCCACATCCACCGGATACTCCTGGGATGTAAGTCACAGTCCCAACAAGTTTGGTCTGAATCGGTTAAGAAATGACCCCACTAGTCTTTGTGTGCTTATACGGAGAAGGCTTCAATTTGGAATTTAAATGACATGTATCTAGCAATTTGGAATCCGTCAGAAATAAATCAAACACTTTTTTTACTTTATTATTGGAGCTTTAAATAATATTTGTATGTTACCAGCATATTTTTTTTTCAGTTCAGTCTGTAATTTTATGGTAGGATTAGTTTTTTTAAGACACATACTTTGAGGAATTTAAAAAAATTAATCAAATGTTTTCTTCTTTGTAGAACTATTATGTTGTTAGGTTGAGTAGGGAGATGTGTGGATACATTTTGTGATATAAAGACCTATTTAAAAAAAAATGTCCCAAAGATTTTCAATTTGTGACCTTAAACACTTCTAAGTAATGTTGATGTGAATTATTTTCCTATCAGATATCAATAATAATAAAAAAAAAAACAGATACTTTGTGCAGAAATGATTCATTATCTTGGAAAATAATTCAGAAAAGTAATGGGTGCAAATGTCACATTAAGATACTTTGATTAACATTAAATCTTTGGTGTGTTGCCTTTGATAAGAGCAAATATGTTAAAAAAAACAAAACAACTAAATTAAAAAAAAACAACTTTTGATTATAGCTAGGGGAAAAAAAATGAAAAGCCCTATACTCATTTTTAAGACCATTTACTTGAATTATTTAAACAAAAAATGCATAAAATTGTTTTTAAGAAAAGAGAGAGAGAGATTTTGTGATGAATAGAGGTTTGATACAAAGCTTTGAGTTTTGATGTTATTAATTTCATCCTTTACTGAGATGCAGGGATGTTAATAGGACAATGGATTTTGATTATCATCTCATATTGTGATGGCAACTGTGCCACATCTGGAATCACTCAGTCCTTTTGGTTAGAAAGATGACATCATTTGACAGATTGATATCTCCATGGTGATGAAAAAATATTATGGAAGCTGTGTTAGAAATTAATATTTAACTAGCAGATATCTTGTGGACCTGTTTAAACAGAGACTACCTGGCCATTTGATAAGTGATATAAGTTTACTTGAGCCAGCAGCAGTGTCAACAAACATTAAATATTTGTTATAAATTGTTCTCTTAATCAAGATTCAAGTAGAATCAGATGCCTGAAATCTTCAGATATTCACCACACTTATGTTTTGGTTTTCAAGCAACATCAAGGAATAGTTTATCTTAGATTTATAGTCATACCTTCTTTGGCATTGTTGATTTTTTTTTATTGACTTTATGGCTAGGAATATATTTTCATAAAATTTGTACATTAAAATTCAAACATTCATCATCAACTAAACCCAAACTTTTTTTTATATGGGTGGTCCCCACATTTTAGGGGAACTTTACTGAAACTAGAAATAGAAATTTTGGAAAATAGTGATATCTGCTTGAGAGTGACCTTTCTAGTACCTGTATAAACTTTTTATGAAATATCATTAGTGACATGAGAAATGGCAAGCTTATGATAATATCTTTTTTTAATATGTCTCAAACATCACACAGAGTTTCCCTGATTCCTTGAATAATAAATTGAATTGAATCTTAGTTTGTATTGTTTTCTAAGAGTAATTGGGCACATACTCAGGTCCAAGCAGGCACACAGTCTGTAACAGTATATTGTTTTTGTCTTCAAGCCTAAGATTATAGAGATTTTAATCAAATTTTTGCTCTTTTGAAGATACAAATTATTTTGATATATACAGCAATTAAATCTTTGAACTTGTAACATTTAGAGAATGGTGTCCTTCTTCTTACCACCTTGAAACTGTTACCTGGCAAAACTTACAGCCAATTTCTTTTAATGCAAATTACTTTGTTTTTAACATTAAATTCAGAGTAATTATAAATTGTTAAGATAAAAATGCACTTTACATAAAGTGGTATTAGTTCTTGAAAAGATCATTTTGTGTGAACTCTTGAGACACAGAGTGGAGATGGTTCTAGTTTATAGTCCATAGAACGTCTCACTTGATTGTGATTGTATAAGGTTAAGGATGACGGTAGGATTTCTGTGTAAATGGATGGGACTCCTCTGATAGATTGATAAACAGAAAGTAAAGCCTGGATGAGTTTGTTAGATTCCCCATAACAGATAGGAAAATGAGACCAATAAAAAAAGTCAGTGGCAGTCCTTTTATGAAAATTAATGTTGCAAGATGTAAAAGCTTTTGTGAAGTTTGTCAAGCCTTTTAAAGATCCCCAGCTTACACAAATGAAAACAGCTCCTTGAAAATTATGCAACAGACAGCACAAATTTCAACTTAGTTAACAGCTTCCTTGGCAGAAATTGAGATTTTTAGTAATAACATCTTAGTGGAGAGAGAGGTCGTTCATCATTGTGACATATAGAAGTACGCTACAGCTTTAGGGCCAGGGTATTCTGGTTCTAGACTAAGTAGATTATCACACTCTCCGTGCTTTCTATTTCACATTCTAAGTGTTCTACCAATAACTGACGGCGTGATCATAACTTTCCTATCCTCTAATCAATGTGCTTTATACCAGGTAGTATCCCTGGGTTAGAAGTGGTTGACAACTCTCGGATACCTGGGATCTGTGTTGATTTATCCTGGACAAACTTTATTACTCCTCTTGCATAAATCAATATAATCAGCAATTTATGGCAAATTAATAACAAATTTTCTATTAGTTTCGGCATAATATTGTTTACAAAATGTTAAAAAATTCAAATCAGTTCATCCGTTTTCAAGGTGTTTTTTATTTACCTGAAATTGTATTCAATGCTTATTTGGCCTGCAAGTTCTCTTTAAAATGACTTTGTTAGGTGACATAGTATTTACATAACTTCAAATTTACAAGCACCCATAATTCACATACCTAAGCTTAACAAATACATTGAAGAATTACAGAACAATCAAGCTAGAAACCACACTGAGGTTTCACATTTGAACATTTAACAAATAATGTTTTTAAAACATATAATTTTCTGAACATCTTAAGTTAATTAGTTGTAAGAAAAGTACAGACAATCTAGCATATAAGAAATTCCCAGGAACTGCATATCTGATTTCCTGATATCAGAGTCTCCTAATATGGACGACTAATATCTTTCACTTAATATCCATGAGGAAGTTCTTCAGACTGCTATTATGTATAACAGAGTTCAAATAATTTTTTTCTCTTTATTTCAATACAAATCTATTCACCTTACTTGTAAATAATGTATACCTGCTTTGTTAAGAAAAAAAATTAGAAAAGTAAAATTTCACACCATTGATATGTTGATTCCCCCCCCCCCCTTGAAATCATAACTATCTATGCACCATTAAAGGACAACTATAGAGGGTCAAAGTCTCACAATAATAATATATAGAAAAGAAAGAATTTTTTATCAAAATTTTTAAATGATTTTACATAATTATTTTCAAATTGATTATGTTTCCTTGTGAAATGTAGATTCAGATCTCATCTAGCCATATATAGCCTTCAGGACAGAAATAAGGTCACTTTATGGGTTCAAAATTTACATATAGTTATAAATATGTAGAAAGCCTTTTATAAATAACAGGTCTCAAAACTTCCTTTTCACAAAAAAGGAATATATATTGAAATTATTTTACACTGATATGTTTATTTGCAGGAATTTGACAAACAGGCTGCAAAGACAGTACAACATTTGTTTGAGGAGATAGATTCTGTGTTGTTTGAGCAGAGTCGAGGTGCCCCGCCTTATATTCACAAGGAGTGCCAGGAATGGGGGACCCAGTTTCCACATCTCAGGTGTGTAAACATGTCCCTGTAGTTCTCAAAAGAGGGTTATATATCACTCAGTCTTGTCCTTTGTTAGATTATGGTGCGTAACAAGAAATTTGATCAGGTTATCATGGACAAACATTCATAATCAATTTTTGAGAATTTGATATTTGAAGACCACATTTGAAAATAAGCTGCAACATGTCTCAATTTTGTAATTTTGATAGGAAATATGATCACATTTGAATAGCGTACTGCTGAGCATATAGAGATTTATCCTGTTCAGTATTTGCACATTAGAAATGAAATTTAGTTTGAAAGCTTTCCCCCATTACTGTTCTAAATTTTCAGGGTTTCTTTTGGCTAAAATATGCTAAAAGCAAGTACCCTTGTAATGTTTTATCAATAAAAACATTGCTAGCTCAAGCATACTAAATACATGTATGTGAAATTTTAATGCATCATTTTGTTCTGTAGATTATGTGTTGAATAAGCTTGTAGAAATCCCTTCATTTGATTAGATGTTAGTAGGGCTCTGCTCTTTGGGTGCCCTGTAGTAATCAGTTGGTTTGTATGTCTGTCTATTAGTCTGATATCAGGCCTGGAACATATCCTCTTACTTTCTGAGATTCTTACTCAAACCTCAGAGTCATTCAGGTACTGAGTAAATTCCTTGTTTGGAGTAATTTTTTTTTCATTTTTTTTATTCCCAATCTGTTTCAAACTTCACTTAAAAAAGGTCCGTGGGTAATAAGTGTGCTGGAAAATGGAACCATACTTCTAACTCAGAGATCAAAGTGAAAAAAAATATCTTAGTATAACAACTTTATTCAGAGTATACATGTATATTCTCCCTTCTTGGCCCTCTGATTTAAATTTCACCCAAAGATGTGTCCTAGGGTAAGGGATTTACAATGACCTTGAGCCAAGTTTAGGATCAAAGGTCTAGGTCACTCCTCATCTTTTCTCCTTGGCTTATCTACTCTCTATCCAGGGCATATATTTTATTAAATATTGTAGGATATTTTCCTTCTTTTGGCCCACCTACACCCTTAGAATGTCCCAAAAGATTTGCAAAGATAAACCAATGGTTAAGAATGAAGTCTTTGTCAAGTCTTCATTCTTTCTTCCCTGTCCTATAGTTGTTTTGTCAGATTATATTCGTGTGGATTTTACTGTTTAATACATTAATTTATATCAATATAAAGCCAGAATTTAATGCATACATCTTATTTTATATTCCACAGAATACTGGGAAATCAGCTAATGAGTCCAAAGGACCAGGGATTTCAGCTGATTGAACGAGAGGGGTCACGACCTATGACAGGAAGTCTTGGATTGGTGGATGTTACAGAGACTGAGATTGCAGATACTCAAGATATTCAGGGGTCAGTTAATATCCACTGTCCAGATACACAGTATATTAGTTCATATCCACTGTCAATATCTAGTAATATATCAGGATTAAAACTTCACTATCTATGCTGATCAATAGCTATTTTTGGCAGATCACAAATTTGAAGGATTTCAGGTTGGTGGAAAATATTTTGGTGAATTTTATTCCGTTTATATATTGGGTGCATTTGTTAAATATGTTCTTAAACCCTAAAAGGTAACAAAGTTTACATCAAATATATACAAGTATATACAAATGTGTTATGCATGCATATTCACCAACATACTGCATTCACATCTCAGACATATAGAAAATTGCCCAGTACTTTCTTGATTATACATAAACATGGAAAAATCAAGTGTATATGAAATTAAAAAAAAACAAATTCGATGATTTTTATTTTGGTAAATTAATCTTTACATATTGCCGAAATAAGCCCAAATCCCCCCCCCCCCCCCAAAAAAAACAGCTAGATGGTAAATTTATACAGGAGACAGTGTGGTTTTAAATCTATAAAAGTATCCATGGGAACCTTCAATCTATTGATTTTTTCATTATTGATTAAAAAAAATGAAATTGTATCTCTGTTATTTAGTGGTCATGTATGAATAAATCTTAAATGTCACAGTAAATTTCATATTTTGGTTCCAATTAATGTACCCATGATAATGAGGTAAAGTTCCTATCAATAATTAAGCTTCCAATGATTAGATCATTTCTAATTCAAACTTGCTACACCATAGAGTTTTCTCTAGTCATATTGCATTACCCGAGGTAGATATGATCAACTGGATAACTTTACAAGGATGGAGAAAATTAAACTTTAAATATTTATTGTTCCTGTTTATTAGTTTCCATAGCAATCATTCTGCATAATTTTGATAAGCCTGTCTGAATTAGGTTGATACATTTAACAACTTGTGGGAATTATGCGGTGCAGTCAGATAACCAATATTTGATGTCCTTTGTACCCTGGGGAGAATCATTAGTCTGTAATGCTGAGTCACTTTGCTATCTCTTCTGTGTACATTGTGCATACATGCACAAATGATTATTTTTCTCATCTTCTGGTGTATGTCCTAAAGCAGAGAAATTAAGTAGGTCTGTGCCTGGAAATTCAATATTGATGAGTAACAAGTGAGTTCTGAAAAACTCATTTCTTTCTTAAGCTCACATGGACCAAAGATCTAAATGAGCTTATACTCTCCAGGGCTCTAATTGGTGACTAATTTAGTCGCCATGGTGCCTAAAATTTTTGATTGGCACCTAAAAATCTTCTATAAGTAACCAAATTAGCGATCATTTTAAATTTGCATGGCGATCATCAAATTCCGTAATTTTTAACATTTTCAACAATTTTCCTTGTTATAAATGTATCTTCTCATATTATCATTCCAAACAGGGATTGGTTGGGGGGGGGGGGGGGGGAGGCAACAGAGATTCTCTTGTCACAACCACTTTCAAAAGTGGAAGGTGCACTAGACATTCCCCTCCTGTGACTACCCCCTCATGGATCCCTATATTGATTATTATCAACTATCAAAATTGGCACCCTAAAAAATTGCCTGGCGACTAAAAATTAGGATTGGCGACTAAATTTTTTTGATGAGGAGCCAGCTGGCAGCTAAATTTTAGAGGTCACTTAGAGGCCTGCTCTCATTGCATGTCTTTGAGCACCTCTAATTGTAAACTTTTCAGGAAAATCTTTTCTAAAACATTAATGGCATTGTAAATCAAACTTGCTCAATATTAAGTTTTTTAGTGGTAAACTATGAAAACCGACACTAGCACTGAGAGCCACACATCAAAAGTTGTTAAAAGTGTTTATTCAGGTACCTAATGCTAAAGTTTAGAAGCCTTCAAAGAATTGCATCAATGAATGTTGCCTTATTTCTTTTGTAGATTATCATTATCAGGGAAAAGTGTTCGAGTTAGGAAGCCACCTGTTGAGGCTCGCTCAAACAGACATGGGGTGGATGCTCCTATTACTGAGTTCACTCATCTAGAGGAGGAAATCTTTGAGCAGGAGGGAGAATATGAAGAAATCATAGCAATTGAATATAGAGATCTGTAAGTCTTTTGTGTCTAGATGTCACATGTTATAGTTAAGGTCACGTATCTTATATAATTAAAGAGTACAAAAACCAATATGACATTTTTGTAGATATGAGGACAGTTCAAATGACAAGAAACAGTTAACCCCCAGGAGAAGAAGGGTAGGCTACCCTCCCATAACCCCCAATGCCAGTATCAAAGACAGTGTGATCAGCTCTGCGTTTGACAATATATGGCAGGAGGTAGGATAAAAATGTCAGATCAGAAATACTAGTATGCCTTTTTATCCCCCTCACAATGAAAGTTGGAGGGGATATAGTAATGTGCTTGTGTGTGTGGGTGAGTGAGTGAATATGTGCATATCAGAATTTACAAAAGTAGTAATTTATATCAGAATTGATGTGTTCTATAGTGAGGGGATGCTCCACTTTGCAGAGCCCTTGTTCTTCCTGGACATAAGTAATACTGTATCTTTTCAGCAACATGTTTTGTTGAGTATTGTCCTTATTAGTGGTCAGTTTGAATCTACAAACTCTTACAATAGTCCTTTGTCAGTTGCTTTCAACAAAAATGTATTCTTCTACAGATTGTTTCATGGATGCAGCCACTTACAAGAAAGTACACAGCTATGGTTCTTGGTAAGTAAGATATTCACAGTGTTGGATGTGATATAAATAGTATTACTTCTGTTTTTTATGCTATAATTTATTCGTCTTTCGTTCTGTAGATGAGAGTAAGCCTATTCGAATTCCAATATTGGAGCAGATCCGTCCTGATCACCTTTTACCCCCCTCCCGGGAAACGTCCTTCAGCTTCCTTAACAACAAGGTATTAGATATTAAGCTGAAGCTTCAGCTAATCAGTTGTACACAGACTTTTCTTGTTTGTAATATATAAATACCTTTCTTGTTTTGTACAGATTCAGAGGTCCAATACTACAATAGGAGTGACTGGTCCTCGATTAGAGAATGTTCTTCACATATCTACAAAGAAACTACAGAGTCGGGAAACTACGTCTCTCCAGTAAGCCGTACATGTATTTACAAAGAAAATGGCAACAATTATGACTATTAAGTGATTAATTAATATTTTTCAAGTTCATAGGATCTGTTTATTTACTTTCTGATAAAATCAGAAGCTGAACATAAAACTCTGCATGTAGATCTGTGTGTTAGAAATTATAACATTTTTGAACTTATTTATTTACGTTGTCTTTTGTAGCGACTCTGACCCAATTATCAACACAGCCCGTCCTGCCTCTAGTGCTAACCCTTCTCTGAAGACCCCCAATCGTCCCTACAGCGTCAAATTGACCCAACAGAGAGGGACACGCAGTGGTCTTGTCAGACTTGCCCCAATAGACAGGTCCAGAACTCCCAATGTGGTAAGAGTTTGGATGACCAGGGTATTTTCAGTTTGTTTTATGGATGCTGTATTTTGTTTACCAGTACTTAAGATATGTTTTATTTGTTTAGCTTATCAGAGAGACAAAACACAGAGTGAGTTTTCTATTGTCTTTTTATTCCCTATATTTCTGTGGTTGGAGGGTTATTTATGGACATGGCAAACAATAATATACAAAATCATGCCATATACCAATTTTCTTTAGTTATAGAATATTTGTGAATCATGTTACAGCTACTTATTTCTACTTGACATAGGTCAATAGAGCTAAAGGAAATGGGAATTCTAACAGCTGAAACTTTAACATAATCTTAAACCATATGTATAATGTTAATCTATGAATCCATTTGTCATTTGTTGTTGGGTATGTGCTCCATTTCTCAATTTTCTGTCATCTTTTTAACCACATTGTAAAATGATCTAGATGTGTATTTGTAGACTTGTCAGCATAGTGTAAATGTACTACAATGTATCTAGTTAGAAGCTAGACAGATAAGTTTCCAAAATGAATACATTTGTAATACATAGTTAACTCAGCTAAGAATTCCTACTTTACTTTTTCAGACTTCACTTATTTAAATGTCTGTGAAATACATAATGATATTTTCATAAAAATAAGGGAGAAAAAATTTGAATTCAATTTAATGGTGGAGTAATATTAGCAATAGAATGGAATTATTGTTAAGGTATCCGACCCATAATAGCTTCATATTCAGTGAAATTGAATGCTTAACAGATATACATGTATATGGGCTGAAGAATCATTATACATGTATTTAGGCATAATTTTCTTGTTTTAGTATCAGTGTATAAGAGCAGAATGTGCCAATTTATGATATTGTCCTGTCCTTGAAGAGTTATTCCTTGGTTTTTAATCAATAAAAATCAATTCTAAAAAATTAGGTTTCAATCATTTTCTATTCCTAATGATTAAATACATCTTTCCAACACAGCATTTATTGATATTCTTAATGTTTAATTTTCTATTTTTAAAAATTTACTTGCCCCCATAGACCTCAAGGCAATCTTCCTAGATCAATTACTGCTTAGGTAATTATATTTTTGAAAAATTTCCCTTGGTAAATCATTTCCTTCTTTAAGATGCTTTGAATTAATATTGGAGTATTTTATGTTTGATGGATATTTAAGGTTAGAAAATTAGATCCTAATATGGGTCGGATACCTTAATTATACTCAACATGTGTCGGACAGTTTCACAGGTGCATGAATATTAAGCATGCAGGTAACATAAAATATGTCAAAAGCATTTGAGATTAAAAGTGTTGGGAACGATATTCATAAGTCATCACCTAGAAGTCAAATTTCTCATGTTGTCAATGTTACATGAAGAAAAAACAGGAAAAGTATAAATAAGCTACATTTTCAGGAGGATGAAAAACCTGGACCAAGTGGTGCACTGAAAGTAACTCGTCTTACCCCACAAAGTGAACGTCTCTCCTCCCCACCCACCCATCACCAAAGAAATGGGACCCTGCCCCCACTAGGCTCTGAACAGGATGTAGTTGCCAGTCCTAGTCAGAGCAGAACACAGGTACTGGATCACAAAGATTTCAGAAAATCTTATTCTTCTGTCCATGCTCTTTAGATGTTTTGCTCTGATGTATGTTTTATAAATGTTTATTTATCTTTACTGTTGAGTAGATTACATACTTTATTATAGACTTTGTTTATTTATGTATGTTTTATATATACAAGACATCATGGTGAATGGATTTTTTTTTTTTACCGCATCTGTACTCTTTTTTTTTTTTTTAAATAAACCACGTTTTTGTTTGCTTTTAGAAAAAAGTGTATAGTGCAAATCGTGCAAGTAGTGCTGTAGATAAGGATATCCGAAGCTTTAGAGATAGGTACCCAATGCCGTCTGATACCCGACCAAGTACAACCCATGCCATGCGGGTAAGTCAGGGAAACAAAGTCCTATCTCCCGTCAGTCTTGTCAAAATCAATGTATCAGTTCTCATCAAAATCAGTCCAGCTATGTCAACTCTCATCAAAATTAGTCTTTGCTTTATTTCTAGGCTTCTTATTAAAATGGGAAACTTAATATTGAATAACTTTCAGTATTTATGTTTTATAGAAAAATATATTGACATTGTAGCTTACTCTGCTTATTTAATCTTGCTATATATCTGTCTTCTTTGACACAGTATGTGAGTTCAGTCAATATTTTTATCATGAATTTTCTGCTTTCACTTGGTTTAAAACAAAGGCCTGATGAATCCTTGAAGAGTGCCATTTATATGTAGATGGTTATAAAGTATAAATATCAAGTGGACAATTTTCCTGTTTTGGCCTTGTTGATGAAATACATTACACTTATATAACTTATGTGTCTTGCAGTCTGATACACCTTTGGGAGGAAACACCTCACGGAGAGCCTCCACTCCATTTGGAGGGTTCAATCCTGTCCCCCAGAGGAGCACCCAAATGATAGGTAATCAAATTCCACACTGCTCCATGTAAAAAAGCACAGAAAGATGATTGAGATTATTCTTCGAGTAGGAAATTTTTCTTTCTTTAATATATTTACTGATCCTAATAAGTTTTACAAAATTATTTCAAAGGTGCATCCATGTTGGGAATAACGGGTAGTGGACTACAACCTTCTTCAGAAATAGGTCACCTGACCAACTATCCCCCAGACATAATGGAGGATGCAGAGGTCAATCTAGACTACCACAATCAGTGGAGTAAGTCTTCTAACAGTATCGGTGATGGGGATGTTTGTTATTTTTTACTGTTCTAAATAATGTCTTAGAGTAGAAAATCTGTCATTGATAGTATATACTGGTAGTCATTTTCAGCAACATTATAAACAAAACTGAAAAAATGCTGCACACAGTTTACAATTTGACAAACTTCCAAGTAGGATGAACAACACATTGAATAGTAGCATGTAGAACTAGGCCTGATGGCTGCAAGTTGTGTTGTCACTGAGACATGAAAATGCATGTTGTTTGAAATATAGAGAATATGTTTACAACTGAAGATCCATTAATAAATAATATTATACCTCTATTAAGAATACTCAAATTTGATTGGCTTGTTAGAAGGCTTTTAAACTCAATAATGACTCCAAAAAGTACCGTTTACAGCAATAATGACCTAGGAATCATTGCACGTGGGGTATAATGACCGGTCAATAAAATTAATGACCGCTAAAAATGACCTGTTAATCCAAATTCCATTCAAATTAAAAAAAAAATATGCATACAGTAATGATTGTACATTACAAAAATTGCCGTTATAAAAATATGTATAGTATTTTTAGGATACGGAACACGATTGGCCTTTAGATGCGTCATAACATTTATCGTTTTCATTGAAATTAACTTTCGTTACAATACAATGTCAAATTCAACGAACGCAGACTCGGCTCTCTTGTACAGTAAAAGTCTGCACCAGATTGTCATTGTAGTCGGGAATGGTATCTGTGAATTTATAAAAATGCAATGTTACTGACAATCACAGAGTGTGTTAATAAATCGGTGGTGCAAAAACTTACAAGACTAGCAGCCGAAAAGTAAACAACTTCACTAGCGAATCCCGATCCCGATGGAACACTGATAACAGTTCGTAGGTCTTATACATGTAATTGATTATTTTAGTAATTAAGCTTACAAAAATTGCCTTAACTTATATCGGTATAATAAAACAATTGATTACCCCTTATGAGTTCAACATGGTAAAATAAGGACCCTCGACCTGGCCCACTTGCTGACCTGACCTGATCTCGGCCGCTACGCGGCCTCGGTCAGGTCAGGTCACCTCGTGGGCCAGGTCTCGGGTCCTTATTTTACCATGTTGACCACATAAGGGGTAATTAATTGTATAATATTTGCTTTTAAGGAATATTAGTTTAACAAGCTTATTAACAGTTAGTTGACTTTTATTGTCAAGTGCACTTTAGTTGTACAGAGAGGTGAAGGTCTAGAATCACAATTAGAAACCTCTAATCTCTGTCACCTAGTACTTTGTATTTATGAAAGTATTAGTAAAGAGTTCAAGTGATTAAACCTTGTTCCATTTTGATTTCATTTTTCAGCACCACCCGATAAGGGCATAGACACTGCCTGGGGGGTCTGAGGTAGCCTATTCACTGTCACCACACCGAGTGCAGAGATATCACAAAAAATATATCACTATTATATTCTAATGTTACATTGCATGAACTTTTCAGCTTTGCTTTTTTGACTTTCCAGAGTTGTCAGTTTTTGGAGTTAAAATGTGTTTCACAGTTTCTTGACTTCATATCGAACTCAAAAATAGTCAGATTTTTAAGAAATTGTTAATGCAATAAGAGTCTGATTTAGTTAACAATAAACTAGTGGATTGTTCTGTTACAACAGGTCCAAAGCATCTTTTATCACCAAAATTCCCAGATAGCTGAGGTAAAGCCCCGCCCCTCACTCGTGGGAGTTACCCAAATGTTTACTTCTTGTTTACTTGACAAGAATTTCTTTTTTTATTCCATTAACATTTCTTATTTGCAGTTTGATGCACCATTAATTGTGTGACTGAACTTATTTGAATTTCATTTCTAAGTTAAAAATTTCCTATATATCATGTTATTTAAAATGTTTGTGTTAAAAAGAATTGTGAAATTTTACCTGTAATAATTAGATGTGCCTAGAAGTGTGATACATATATATGTATTTGTAGAAGTTTAAGATGGTGTATCAATGTATTTCTCCTTCACCTTGATTCTGGTTCTCCTCTGTCATTCCTGTGTGATTTTTAAAAAAAAATTATTTTTAAAGTCCTAGCTCTCTCCTTCACTTGGAAATAACAGTTACCCCTTAAACAATAATAGGAAATAAATTTATGAATTTTTATCTTTCTAAAAGTCGTTGTAATAAAGCTTATTCTTTCAGATGATTGTATAAACATATATCGGTGACAAGAATTATACATGTATTTGGTACTGAAATGATCTATGTTGTATCCATTTTGTTTTTATCCATTGTAGCCCCCTCTCCTCCCAGTCATCACAATCCATACAGACGATATCGGCATAGTTCTATGGTGAGATCTTAGCCACAAGACTATATCCCTGCCCTAACAAGTGCCAAATCTAAACCAGACAGTGGAGACAAATGTCCTCCCTCTCAGTAGATCTGTCCTGCCAGATCTGGGTACACACTCCCCTCCCACGGGAGAACTGTTTATTCTGCCACAATGAGTGAATTCCAAGGAAAGCCAGCATTCCCTGGGGAGCCCAGGAGACATTCAGGAATGAACATGAGAAGAGTTGTAGTATTGGCAATTCACATTTCTTGTAGTCTTGTTATGATTTGTTGGATTGTGACAATAGTGTGTCTTGTAATCAAATATGGTGCAGAATCTCATACCCAGATAATATCAAGCATCAAAAAGCCACAAGGAATTGCTTGGAAAGGGAACTAACTCATTCATGTCCTCCACATGATCTCCATCGTTTAATGTTTACTGTGATATATATATACATATATATAACTGTTTGTGACTGACCCTGTAGAATAACTGTGTATATAGACCACTCCCTGTGCATTGCTTTTAGATATTGAATCAGGCAGCTAAGGGTTTGATCTAGAACTTGGTGACAATAAGTCTCTACCTCCAGTTTTAAGTTCAAAGCATCCCCTGTGTTACAGATCTGAAAGTCAAATTTTCTGTGATTTTATTAATTTGAACACGTCCATTCCCATTAAAAAAAATCATCATTTTTTTTATTGGAAATATTTTTACTCAGACAGACTTGTGTTGTCGTTTACATGTTAATACATTAGGCATGCCTCATCACTGTGATAAAATGGCATTTATATTCTATGTATATTCAGGTTATGATTTATATAGCTGGGTTTTGTTTGATTTTTTTTTTTGGCCAAAATTTAAAAGGATAGGCACAATATTTAACTACATGATATTCATCTTTATTGAACATGTCACTTTCAAAGATCAGGCATAATCTTCATCCCAGCATCCAGATTTAGTGGAGTTTCTATACAAAGTCTCTACAATGATTTTGTAGCATTTTTTGTTGTTTCCTTAGAGACAGTTTTGTTGTCATGGTGTCTTTGTAAAACTGTTACTTCATACACTGTTGATACATGCTGCCATGGAAACACGCCATAAACATTGTAAACGTAATCTCAGGGTTTCTGTAAATAGTTATGCAATCATATGTGGATTGTACACAGAATTGTGTGCATTGGCAGTTATGATATAGAAAATATTTTTTTTTTAGTCTGTGCAGGCTTCTGATGTATAACAAACTTAAACACTACATCATGTTTCCACTTCTTTTTTGCCACATTCCATTACAATGTTATACATTTTTATGATGATTTTAATTAAGACAGATCACTCTTGCGATATTTATTTTCGTTATTTTGATTTGAAATAATTGATTTAAATGTCTAAGTAAGACTAGTAATAACTTGAATTCTAATTCTCTTCAAAACCCAAAAAGTATTCATTTTTGAAATAAAAAGTATGAAACTCCTTATAAATTTTCATATTTAATTTTTAAATTGAAACATGTACAATTGAGCCTGTTTTAGAGTGGTCTAAATGATGTGGGTGAGCGTGGACAAATACTTGTTGTTTATTTGTTGTTTGTATGCTATTTTCCATGAAACATATAATGCCAACATATTAATTGTAGCTATGTGCAATATGTGATCTGCTACCAATAGCTGTAAATAAATAGGACTATTCTGTCAAGTACAAAAATCATATTCTTTTTTTTATAATTCTGCCTTGAAGTGTGGATTATTTGGGTCAGTGTGTTAGTTCATTTGGAGTATAGCAAAAAAGTTCATTCACTTGACAACATATTTATGCCTTGCTGAAATATCTTAAAGTTCTATACCTTTATAAATCTGGGCCAGGATCCATTACTACTGGGCATGCTAACCTTGATCCATTACTACATCTCGAAGTTAAGGTCATATTAGTCTGAGCCTTATACAGGGTTGTCCAATAAAGTTCATGGACAATGACATTTTAATCAAAGTGAAGGTCCTAGATATACTTATTGTATACAAAAATAATGTATATACTCGCCTATAAGTCAGTTTTTTGGGAGTTAAACTTTGGTCCAAAAACCCTAGTCCGACTTATAGGCGAGTTATAGAAATATTGGAATTATGGCGGGTCAATCCCATTAATGTAAGCATAAAAAATACAACTGACTTATAGGCGGACCGACTTATAGGCGAGTATATACGGTATTCGTTATGAAAATCCAAGTCAGAATAGTTTGGATTCGATTGTTTGAAAATAACATTTTTTTATTTAATCAGGGCCTTTAAAAGTCACTAGTAGATGCACGGCCGAGGATTGAAATGTCATGCGCTTTGAAATAAAGTTTTCATTTTAAAATATTATTTTCTTCTTAAATCAAGCCAGAACTTGGAAAAAATTGAATGTGTCTCAAATGAAGGGTTTGTCCACATTTTCTGATATTTTAAGTACTGGTTATTGGACTGATGTTTCAATAATTGACAGAAAAAGCAATGTTGGCCATTCAAATGGAACAGCATCAAATCATAAAATTATGTTTTTGATATGTTTGAAACGATTATAGCATGCACGTAGCATCAAAGGGGGTGGGGTGCCCCCTTTTTTTCCCAAACATATCTTTTCACTATTGAAAATGTTCATTGAAAGGCTGGTTGGTTCCACCACTTTTTGCTAGCTCACCTGAGCTGAAAGCTCAAGTGAGCTTTTCTGATCACCTGTCGTCCGTCCGTCCATCTGTCCGTCCGTCTGTAAACTTTTCACATTTTCAACTTCTTCTCAAGAACCACTGGGCCAATTTTAACCAAACTTGGTACAAAACATCCTTTGGTAAAGGGGAGTTTAAATTGTAAAAATGAAGGGCCAAGCCCCCTTCCAAGGGGAGATAATCAAGAAAAGACAAAAATAGGGTGGGGTCATTAAAAAATCTTCTTCTCAAGAACCACTGGGCCAGAAAAGCTGAAACTTATGTGGTAGCATCCTGGGGTAGTGTAGATTCTAAATTGTTCAAAGCATGACCCTCAGGGGTAGGGCGGGCCACAATAGGGAATCCAAGTTTTACATTGAAATATATAGAAAAAATCTTTAAAAATCTTCTTCTCAAGAACCACTGGGCCAGAAAAGCTGAAACTTATGTGGTAGCATCCTAGGGTAGTGTAGATTCTAAATTGTTCAAATCCTGACCCCCGGGGGTAGGGCGGGGCCACAAAAGGGAGTCTTAAGTTTTACATTGAAATATGTAGAAAAAATCTTTAAAAATCTTCTCAAGAACCACTGGGCCAGAAAAGCTTAAACTTATGTGGAAGCATCCTGGGGTAGTGTTGAATCTAAATTGTTCAAATCCTGACCCCCGGGGGTAGGGCGGGGCTACAATAGGGAATCCAGTTTTCACAAAAAATAAATTGGAAAGATCTTTAAAAATCTTCTCTTGATTCACTGGGCCAGGAAAGCTGAAACGGAAGTGGAAGCATCCTGGGGTGGTGCAGATTCTAAATTATTCATCAAATCATGACCCCTGGGGTAGGGCGGGGTAGGTATTACAAGGGGGAAATCGGGTGAAAAACAGCAATACCAAAGTTTACTCAGGTGAGCGTTGTGGCCCATGGGCCTCTTGTTGCAGTTTAGTCAAATAAAAGTAATGTAGTAGTGTATAAAATAAAAATGTGGTACTGAAAGAAGTTTGAACTTAACCCCCCCCCCCCTCCCACAAACACACACATGAAAACAGATTGAATAAGTTCTTGATTTTTTTTTTTTCTGGTCCCCCCTGTATCGAAATAAGGTTAAGATATAAAAGCAGCAGAAGCGACGGAAAAAGACCCAAAACCCAGTGTTAAGTCAGTCATTCTACAAAAACATGACCAATTAAGAATTTTTTATGTCGCTTGCAAATTTACTGTTGTAATATCTTAATTATAAATTTAAAGGTCGATATCAACTCTAAGACTTAAAATACACATATGGTTTTGTAAATATTCACCGATATATATGCAGTTAAAGTTTTGATATGAACATAATGTAATGTTGAAAAACGTATTCCACTGCAAATCTTAATGTCGCTTCATTTATATACAAATTTCAAGATGAAATTTTCAGCCGTAAAATCGTTCCGAATAGAGTGCAATGTATGTTAAAAATGTCTTTTATCCTATATAAAAAGAAATCAAACCACTTCTCGCAAAGAAATGCATAGATCTCCTTTCATGCGAATGTATAAGCATGTCGCTTAAAATCGATTAATTTCCGTAACGATTTTGTTTTAAATTTCACGCATAGAACGCAGACTTCAAAAAGAACTGAAACTTATCTGAAAGTGACCACGGAACCTTATATCATCGATTCTAGTTGCAAGTCGGCTATTTTACACGAACACATTTTCGACATAACAAAATGAGTTAGACAAAAACAGTTGTCTCTCTTAAAAATTTAACTTCCGTAACCGTAATTCAGGAAAGTTTTTGCATTTAAGGTATAATTTTTTTTTATTATTTTGGGAGCGAAATGCTTCATACTTTTGTTTAGTATCCTACAAACAAACTTTGATTTTAACTATTGAAGAGAATTTTAATAACTTTTTTTGCTGGGAATTAACTTCCGTAACGATATTTTTTCCGAAAATTGCAAATTTACTGTTGTAATATCTTAATTATAAATTTAAAGGTCGATTTCAACTCTAAGACTTAAAATACACATATGGTTTTGTAAATATTCACCGATATACATGCAGTTAAAGTTTTGATATGAACATAATGTAATGTTGAAAAACATATTCCACTGCAAATCTTAATGTCGCTTCATTTATATACAAATTTCAAGATGAAATTTTCAGCCGTAAAATCGTTCCGAATAGAGTGCAATGTATGTTAAAAATGTCTTTTATCCTATATAAAAAGAAATCAAACCACTTCTCGCAAAGAAATGCATAGATCTCCTTTCATGCGAATGTATAAGCATGTCGCTTAAAATCGATTAGGCCTAATTTCCGTAACGATTTTGTTTTAAATTTCACGCATAGAATGCAGATTCCAAAAAGAACTGAAACTTATCTGAAAGTGACCACGGAACCTTATATCATCAATTCTAGTTGCAAGTCGGCTATTTTACACGAATACATTTTCGACATAACAAAATGAGTTAGACAAAAACAGTTGTCTCTCTTAAAAAATTAACTTCCGTAACCGTAATTCAGGAAAGTTTTTGCATTTAAGGTATAATTTTTTTTTATTATTTTGGGAGCGAAATGCTTCATACTTTTGTTTAGTATCCTACAAACAAACTTTGATTTTAACTATTGAAGAGAATTTTAACTTTTATTGCTGGGAATTAACTTCCGTAACGATTAACTTCCGTAATGATATTTTTTCCGAAAATTTAATCCGTAACGATCTCCGTAATGATATTTTTTCCGAAAATTTAATTTACATTCGGATTCATGCGAGACTTCATGAATCATACTTTAGAGTTCTTTACTTAACATCAGAAACGAAAAATTGGTCAAATTCAGCTTTATTTAAAAAATAATAAGGTTTGATCAAGCATGAACTTCCGTAACATTGCCATAAAATCAATGGTATCTTGAAATTGTTGTAAAAAGTTAACGATACCAGATTTGTGGACAATTCTTTGTTTTCAAGTTCCCTGATAGGTCCTTTAGAGAATTATGATGTTCATTTTGCTATTTGAAACAATTTTTTTTTTTATTTTTTTTTTACTCTGAATTGGTCCATTTATCGTAGAATGACTGAAGTGCAGTTATCCTTTGTTTTTTGGCGCAAATTCCGAATGTCCTTAAGTGCAGTCACCCTCTGAAAAATTCAGACATACACAGTAAAACAACAACAACAAAACTTATGAACATTGATTTTTTTTAATGTGACTTTTTCCGAGAAATTGTTCTCTCCCATAGGTCAATTCCTTTAAAATTGTGAATACATCAGATCCTTTCGTTTATCTTTTTGAAATAAAAAAAAATACTCAGTATGGTGTATATGTAAATATTATCGCAAACACTTAGCAATGTGGCATGATAAAGAAAAAAAAAATAGGGTGTGCCCACGATTATGTGACCAGAAATGGAAATCCATATTTTTTACCAAAACTAGCTTAGACTGGGCCGTGTGGCTAGCATATACAATCTATTTAAACCTGTAACTTTTGTAAAATAGTGTGTATTGTGCATTTATTAAACCATGGTCTATATCAAAATAAAATCGTACACATTTGGAGTGTGGTCGTTATTCAGAAAATTAAAGCAATAGTCTACAAACTTTATGGACAGCCCTCGTATTAGGAAACACAAAGGAGAATGACTTTTGCATTTGTATTTTAAAAGATTCTCAAAATAAATAAATAAATAAATAAATAAATAAATGTCAGAATCTTTATTTTATGGAATTCCGTATACGACAGTCAACTGCTTATTGCCCACTGCTTACT